TAAGGTTTAGCCTGTCTGTAGAACAAGACTCACCACTGAATGTGAAGAAAAATGAAAGTGTTTTTGTAGTATTTGACCACTTTTGTTTACATATAGTTTTGTATTCTTAGCATGATTTTCTAAGAGTTATTTCTGAAACATGTCAAATTAACATTAAAGTCTTCCCTTATCATTACAAATTATAAAATATTTAGCTTTAATTTCCCTTTTCATATCACGTAAGTAGAAACTTATTATAAAACACATTTGAAAGAACTCATTGTTGACTTAGGTAATTAAAATGAAGAGTGTGGAGTGCATTTTTAATGCTTTTTAGATTAGCTCAGGAATGATGAACACATCTGTCACCTTCTCAAAAATATGTACAAATAATGCTTCACAGTTCACATTTGCCTTCTTCCAAGGAAATTAATGAGTGTTCAGAATTAAGGACATGTCAGTAAAAATTCTAGACTGAGCTGAACATTTTTTAAGTCTCTTATTCATTAATTGGGTTAGGTCTAAGGTCTCTGAATTTTAGGTTTGTTAAAGACTGTATTTCATTAAAGTCTGTAAGGAGCTGGAGGGGTCAGTTGAGGGCAGCTCCCAGCAATTTGCCAGTGTGTTGCTTGTTGTGAATCTGCACGGCTGAGCTTTTTCAAAAATAAGGAAATTAACTTTCCAGCCCTACCCTTAGAGAGGCTTGTTTTGATTGCGAAGTGTACAGGTACAGAAACTGAAACAGGACCATGAATTAGGGTGACTCTGGTGGGACCCATAAAAATTCACACCTCCTGAGGATCCGATCTGTTGGCACAGAGCAGCCTTCAGCCCACCGCGCTCCACAAGGTCTGCCTGGAGCTCAGGCTGGCAAGCTGGGTGGGCGTACATCCCACTGAACTGTGACAAAGAGAAGAGATGGCTTTTTTGTAAGCCTACAAGACTTTTCCAATTCAAACTATAACCTCTTGTCACCTGCCTCCCTTCTTTACCCCCTGTGGAGTGCCCACTGAGTTTGGGGTGCTTCTGAGTCCTGTAGGACCAACTGCTGCAGGAGGAGGAAGATGCTCCATTGAGCAGAACAGTTGCACGACAGCTGACTCGCTGTCCAACTTCAGTGCTGTCTGAATGTTTTACCACTTCATCTTTGTTTGAAGCTATTTACCTATTTCAGTATATTTTATTGCCGTTGCGTTTGGTCACTGTCCGTTCACTGGATTATCTCATTTTGTCCAGTCTGCTGTTGACACGCAGGCTCTGGATACAAACACCGATGCTAATGTGGCTCCCTGCTGTGCTGATATGTCTGTACTTGTTTATCTACAGGAGGAGCTAAGGAATTGTTTTGCATTTTAAAACAGAACAACCTTAACTGATAATGCTTTTTTTTTTAATCTTAGTTGTATGCATTAGCCACTGATTAAAGCAGCATGTCCTGCCGCAGCATTAATAGGATGACGTTAGGCTTGATTTCCCTTGCTTTGAGTGAGAAGTCTGGGGAGAATCATTTACATGGCAGAAGAATACATTGTCACAGTAAACAGCATTTCTGAAGCCTTATATTAAATCACCAAAACAAAAGTGAGTCTCGAGCTTGCCCTCGGTAACCATGAGGTATGAGTGGGCTGAGCAGCAGGACGATGAGGGTAACTGAGGAAAGTGCGTGGTCCAAACTGAGAAGCCAGGTTTCATTACATCTGGTGCTTACAGAATTGGTTTTGATTTATATCAAAGAAGATTTAGATTAAATATGTGAGGAGGGAAATACATTACTAGAAGGAAAGTCAAAAGCTAGGTAGGATCGTTCTGGCATTGCTTTCCCACAACAGGTTTGACACGCGGGTTTTTTTTTCTTTTTTTTTTTTTTTGGTAGCACTTTTTACTGAGTTTCTAGTATCTGGTTATTCTGCCCTGACTTGCTGGCAGAAATGAGGTGTGAAAACTGAATAACCAGGTGCAGGACAACTAACTCAACCTTTCCTATCACACAGAGCCAGGCTGGGGTCTAGAACTTGTGCTGCTGTGTTGTCTTTCCAAGACAGTGTGGCTGGGATAGAAGAAGCCACTGTATTCCAATAGGCAAAGAACAAAGGAAAATTTGTTTGGTTGTGTATAATCCTATGTGGGAAAATAGAATTTTTTTTAAAAAAGGAGCCTTTTGAGTGAAGACTGTGTAGTGACTGGCCTAGGATAGTTTTTCTATGAGATAGGAAATCTTGTGTCTCCACTGCATTTATCTGATTGAATTTAAATAGTGTTTAAACGTTTATTCCTAGTGTGAAATGTGGGAAAAAAAGAAGAAAACTTTCAATCATTTTAAGATCCATCCAATTTTGCGTTCATAAAATAGGAATATGTGGAAGATCTATGTCCCTACAGTAGGGATGTCGCTACGCTGCCTTTGGCTCTGTGCTGCTTTTTCTTTTTTTAATTTGGAAGACGAGTTTTTCATGATCAGACTCTGATGGGTAGACAGCCAGAGGTGAGGCAGGTGTGCATGCCACGTGTGGGAACGTGTTCAAGGTTTTCCACAGCTGGTTCTTTGATTTATTGACAGGCAGGGAAGTGATGGGAGCTGCTAGAGCTGCTGACATGATGGGATGCTCTATGGATCACTTTGTTTCCCCACTTCAGCCTTTCCAACCTGTATTGCCTAGAACATTCCCTGAAGTTTTGGTGTCAGTTGAACTAAGCCAGTCCAGAGCAAAAAGAAATATGTAGTAAACACTCAATCCAGAAGAGTTAAAAAAAAAAAAAAAATCTACTCCACTTACTCCAGAATAGTGTAAGCTGCGGAATATTTCTTAAAATCCTCTTAGCAATCTTTGCCACTTAACAGTAAAATACCAAAAGCAATAATTATAATGAACTAGAGGGAGATCAGGGGAGATCAAAGGCATCCCTCTAGCAGGCTAAATCCTTGAAGTAGCAGGTAATTTGTTAGATTTAATTCTCAGGAGTTAGCCCATGCCCCAAGCTATAAAGATAGGTCAAAATAATTCTAGTGGTCCTCTGCCAGTCTGCCCTGGGGGTGATTCTTCTGTGATCCCAGATCTGGTGGGATCAGTTTAGTTCCTGATCATAGGAGCAAGTATTTGGGCAACATTAATACTAACGACATTACAGAGCAAGTCCTCCCTGTATTCCTCTGGGCGGTCTCCCAGGTTTCCAAGGAACAAAAAGTAACGAAATGAAAAAGCCAAGCCAAATGATGCAGCAAGGGGGCAAAAATCCTACCCAGTCCCTGCAGGCAGGCAGTCCAAGGCATGAATCGTTAGATTAATACATGATCAGCAGGCAGCAATCAAGCCCTTCTAAGGGATAATGCCCCAGGCTCAGCACAGTTTTTCGTTTGAATATGTCAGAGCAGTCTCTTTCCTTGTCTCATATACTCTTTTGCAGGAATATCGTCAGCCAGTGATGTTTATCTTGTACTCCAGTATAACACAAGTTCCTGTCTGAATAGTAAAATTAATTAATTTTTTTTTATGTAGCTGATTTTGGCTTCCTCAGGATGGTACTTCACAGTTGCTTTTACTGAATTTTATCTTAAGTTTGCCATGCCTTCTGCTGCTGAAGGTAATTTTGAGTTTGACCGTGCTCTTCCATTTGTTAATAATTCTTTCAATTGCACTCTGTGCTGTCACCCTGGCTGTTAACAAAAATAAGGGCTAGACTCTAACTTGGGACAGAGCCTGGCGTGTCTGCAATGTCACTGCACAGCTCCATTTCTATGAACCTTTTTTCTTTGTGTTAAAATGATTGGAATTGATAAGATTTCAATTTAAACTTTAAAAACTTCGCTTGGTATATACAGTGACAGCATTTGTCACTACAAATGTTTTTATGAATGTTTATACACAGTAGTTCCAAGCTATAAATGATCATTGTTTAAAATCTGTCAAGGGAAAAATCTTGCTACAGCTAAATATGTAACAGTGACATTTGAAATCAGAGCAGACACGATTATTTGGCTTACGCTTGTAGTGCTATCAGCTGCTTTCCGAGAGGAAGAAGGAGGTAACATTTCTGTGGCAGGTTAATTGCAGAATAACAAGAAAATTCTGTCTCTTGACACTAATTATTCTAAATAAATTCGAACTCCATAGAACCCTTTTATAATGAAGTTATTCTTTTTCACAGAACAACTTTAGTCTAAGTGGCAGTAGAATTGCAATTGGCATATTGTGATGTATTGAAACAATTCAGGACTTTCATTCCACTTCGCCATAAGTGGCGTTCTGCAGTGCCCAGGTAGAGAAACTGTTCTGAGTGCAATGAAGGCAGTATTCCTGTCTTCCCGAAACAGCTTTTGTGGTTTCTTAGCAGTTGACTCATGAGAGTCAGGAAGGAAAAAAAAGTTTTAATCCTTGAAAGCCATTTTAGAAGGAGGCAGATCTGTGTGGCCTGTAAGTCATGTAGTATTGTGTACTGCTGTCAGAGTGGGGTGCTTGCTCCTCTTCTTCCTCACTGTTATCTTTCTGTTGTCTCTTCTTACTGTAAGTGAAGGCGATTTTGCCATCACTACAAATATCTGAATATCTCGCAGACTTTTGCTTGTATGTATTTAATGTGCCACTTTCTCCTTTAATTCAGCTCACTTGCTTTATTTGAGTGTCTAAGAGATTTCAGAACTGAGCCGGTGGGATCTATGAACTGTTTTATATATATATATATATATGAACTTTAATAACATGCTGTTATTAAAGGTCGTGGCTGAAATCAGTCCAAAGATACGGACTTTTTGTGCCATTGTTTGTCTGCATTAGACCTATTGCCCTACCATATGCAAAGCCATCGTCTTTGCATTCTCAACCCCAAACAAATAAATGATCTTGCAAGTAACTGCTAAAGAAGGAGGCAGCCGGATTGTGTAAGGTCTGTACCGGGTGATGAAATCCCATATTTGATCTGATTGATTAGTGATATTAGTATAGAATTGATTAAATTTAGTATCAGTGCAGAGTCTCTGCAGTATGAAACTACTGTTCCACGTGATGTATTTTTGTAATCCCGCGCAGAGCTGTGTACCCTGGACTGCGGCAGCCACGGTGTCTGTTCCAGAGGGATATGCCAGTGTGAAGAGGGCTGGGTGGGACCAACCTGTGAAGAACGAACCTGCCACTCTCACTGTGCTGAGCACGGCCAGTGCAAGGACGGGAAGTGTGAGTGCAGCCCTGGATGGGAAGGGGACCACTGCACCATTGGTAAGGCTGTTTTATACCCCTAGAAATAACATACATAAAATCTTAACCAGTTATACAAAGATTTGCCATAGCCATCAGTCTGATTCAAGTCCTTTTGGAAAAACAGAGACCCAGAATCTGGCCAGGTGTAAAGAGATGTCTCTGCTTGTCCCACAGAATAGCAATTTACTGCAGCTTTCTGTTTAGAGGAAATAACATTGATGAATAAATTTTTTGAAAAAACACAAGAAAGAAAGATGTCTCAGTCCTGACATATCTTTGGGTTGTGTTCATATGTGAACTTTGAGCCAGGAAGGTAAAAAATGTTTAAGAAATAGAAGATGTGAGGGGATGAAGATATTATTCACGTTAAGTAATTTTTGCATTAAATCTCATGTCTGAGGATTTACATATTTGACTTACAACTAGAGGTGGTTTTTCTATAGCTGGCTTCTAACAATATTCCTAGTGTAAGGTAAAGCTTTCAGATCTTTTTAGAAGTCTTTACTCTACTATACAAATGTAATAGTTATATTTTTAATGACATACAACAGGTTTTTGCAAATTCTAATACTGTTTCTCCTTAAAATGTCCCAAAGCAAGATTATTCATGAACATTTTAATTGTTTGTAATAGTAGGGTATCTACTTTTCGGAGGTAAGCAGCATAAGCTTTCATGCTTGCTTCTTGAAAAAAAAAATAGAATGCTTTATCTTATCATTTTAAGATAGTTCATTCACTGGCTCTAGAATTTACTGAATCAGATTTGCTAAATCAAGAATTAGGATGGTGAAGGAGGAACAGCTTAATTAATTTTCTAAAGATTGTGTAGAGCAAATCGAGAAAAGGACCATAATGATTAAGAAGATAAATAAAACTGCTCTCCACATTGTAGGCACTGCCAAGCTGTCCTCTGCATGCTTGTCATCAAATGGAGAGCAGTCACATGCCCAGTGTGTTTTGATCACTGTAGCAGGAATAGATCTGACTGCAGTGAGAGGGAGACACTTTATAGCTAACCAGCAGGTGGCAAGTCATAAGCAATTGGTGTCTGTATTTTCATTTGGGTGCAGAAGTTCAATCCATCTCAGTCTTGTTCTTTTCTCTTTTAAGCTCACTACTTAGATGCTGTTCGAGGTAAGTTTTTCATATCAGAATTGTGAAAGAATAATGGAAAGATACAAAAGTATTGGGAATGGAGTGGTTTGTGTTACCTGTTTTGTTTGAGCTTCTGTACTGCTAAGTTCCCAGAATAGAGAAAACATTTATGGAGACAGAACAGAGAGAGACTTACAGAAATAAAAATGCAGTTTTTAACAGTGTGCTCCGCTCATCAGCAAAGTTGGAGCAATGTAAGAGTGTTTCATGTGGCCATCTGATGTGCTATGTTAGGCAAATCAGATTTTTGCTCTCACCATTTCAAAGTAATGACGGAGCTGAGGACTTGCTCTGAATCGTGTTGATCCTGTCTTCCATGAGAACAAAAATCTTCATATTTTTTGTCATTTGTGCTTGAAGTGTGTTCCTTTGGTAGAGCAGCACACCTTTCTAAGAGCTGCCTAGGCTAGATATGATCTAGTTCTCTTGAAATCATTTGATACAAGAGTTAAATTTGTTGTTGTTTTGTGTCTGGTGATGTTCATTTAATTTCCCTGCCTTGCCGCGGGTCCTGCTTGGTCATGTCAGCACAAGCACCGTCCCCGAGTTTGGCAGCGGTCCCTCAGTCCTCACTGTGCTGTGCAGAGCGATGATGCACATTGCCCCTCGCAAAAATGCTTCTAGCTGAGACATCAACCTAACCAATATTCCAGAAAGATCTGGGTGTTTATTTTGCATTTACTATTTTATCTCTTCAAAATTAGATAATAACAAAAACATGTAGGCATTCATTTGGTTACATTTATAGTGTTAGAGGATAACCACACACAGCAGCAAAATACAGTCGTGTACAAGAGATGGATTAACTCAGCAGGACAGTGAACTGACATGGAACAGCATCCCCATTACCCAGAACAGCTCTTGCATCCTCCCCTTTCCCTCAGCTCCCTGAAAGAGGCAAATAATGGGCTTTTATAGCATATCTGGTGGTTGCCAACCTCACGCTATTTTAAAGCAGCAACTTCCAGAATTCCAGTGTGAGAAAACATTGCACCCATCTCCCGCAATTCCGAGCAAGAGGGTCAGACTCTCCGGTCTCCCTGTTTGCAGATGTGATTGATAAACTGTGCTGAGGGAGATGATGTAAAGTTGCCGGGAAGCGTGCTGGGCTGTAAGTCACAACCTGACCGACCAGTCGTGCAGATTCTCCGCCTCTCTGGACTGCTCCTCCAAAGTCCTTGTGGAGCATCCTGGGGCTGCCAAATGCATATGCAGACCAAAGCCTCCTCTTTCCTCGAAAAAAAAATTCTCTCTGAGAACACATACGTGTTGATGTTCACTATGGAGTAGAGAAGGGCTTTCCATTCCTGTATGTCCGTGCTGGGAAGAAGGAAAGAGCCCTCGTAGAAGGGATGCCACTTGCACTGTTAAGCTTTTTGCTGAGCTTCATCTATTTTCCTTTGGCTCCGTGTGTGACACGGTGAGGATTTGACGAGTGTCTGAGCTGGCACTAAACAATGCAAGCAGATGGACATGAGTGCACACATCCAAGAGACAATTCCTCTCTCACTCTCACAGGCAAGAGATCTAGCTGAGAATGTCCAAATTCCTATTGATTCAGAGTTTGCAAGTATATAATCCAGAGGATGCTACAGTCCTTGTTCCAGTTTTGATCTAGGATCATAGCCATGAAGGTGCTTGTCATGTTTGAATGGGCTAGAATGTGGAGGAAGTGGAACTGGCCATTGGAAGGAAATGCTCTCTCATTTGCCTTCTGTGGAAAGGGCTGTAGCATAAATCAAATTGGCTTTTTTCTCTGTCAGCTGAGTATTTATGAACAGAATAAAAAAGGTCACCTCCACTCCCTGCAGTGTGTAGGATTATGTCCACAAATGCCAGTTTGTCATTTAAACAATATTTTCCATGTATATATTTTATATAAACGTCGATTATGTATATACCTTCCTTTGTGATCTACAACTTATTTTTCAATAAGTAGAGAAAGAGATGGACACGGCAGACTGATAAATGTCTTCTTATAAGTTTACTTACTTTTTTCCTGCACACAAAATGTTACACACTAAAAAATCCTCATTCCTCACTCAGAAGTGACTTTTGGGCAAGCAAAGGGAGGGACCAGGATGAGGATTTTTCCCTGTTTGGCCAAAGATATAAATGGCTTGCAGCGGAGCTGTGATTATTTGAAGGCGGCAAATCCTCAGTCCTCACTCAGAAGTGACTTTTGGGCAAGGATTTTTCCCTGTTTGGCCAAAGATATAAATGGCTTGCAGCGGAGCTGTGATTATTTGAAGGCGGCAAGTATAATGCTACATGGAAGAATGTTAAAGAATAATTGTAACTGTAAAAGAAGAGAAGAAAACTCCACCATGAAGGCTTCTTTTTTACATTTTTCTTTCCTAGATGGGTGCCCAGGTCTCTGTTATGGGAATGGGAGGTGCACTCTTGATCAGAACGGATGGCACTGTGTTTGTCAAGTGGGCTGGAGTGGCTCAGGATGTAACGTTGTCATGGAAATGGTGTGTGGAGATAACCTGGACAACGATGGAGGTATGATACATAATTCATGTCTCTTTGTTTATTTGTCACATCCTTGATTGTCATTTGAATCTGTAGTTTTGGTCTATGTGTTCCTTTTTTATCACAGGATGTCAATGTTTGTCTGTTTGCTCAAGACAGTTGTTCCACTGACTTCATCTGAAGCAGTGCAGTGAGGGAGCAGAGCTTTGTGGTACGTGTTGTTCAAGGCAAAAATTATGTATGTGCCGTACCTATCATCCCAGTACTTGACTTTTTTCTTTTTTTTTTTTTTAAAGTGTAACAAGTAATTTCTTACGTCTCCTTTCTACTCCACCTCATGTTCAAGATAACCCTGTCACCTATTTCAGAAAAGACAGCCAATGGATACCCAAATGAAAAACCTCTGTGCCTGTCAAAATGCATCCAGCATTTAGTCCTATGTTAATATTAAATGAATACATTTGCAAGCATAAAGCATACATTTAGAGATGTTTTTTTAACATTAATCTCTTTCTTAATGTTTCCACTGACACACAGTGCAGTTCTTGCAATTATCTGGACTTACATTTAAACAATTGTTAACTAAGCTGGTGCAGAAAGCATGCAGAAGGAATTTATGAAAGTACCATAAACAGAGCCTTGTGCTAAAATAATTTTCTCTTTTCTACCAGGTGAACCAGGGCATTTGGCACTAGGTGCTCCCTACCTCAGACCACTATAGTCTTGATTCATTCTAAGGCTAAGTTTTAGCTTTGCTGGGAAAAACACAGTTTTTTCATAAGTTAGTCTCTGCCTCCTTTCCAGTAGTTCATTCTAATACATGAGCTAGTGCATTTTTTTCAGGAAAAATATCCAGGCTCCCTTTCACATTTACCAGAGGGAGAAAAGCCACGATGTTCTTCACTGATTGTTCTCTGAGTTAATTATTTTTCCTATCTATTTTAGGAATACTCATTTACTGGACAGTCAGGAAGGACTATTGCTTTCCTCTCCTTTACTTAGTACCATCCTTTATGGTGTGTTTGCCCCTCCACTCAGAGCCGTGCAGCTTTTTCATTCAGATTGTCTCGTTCTCATCTGCCCCAAGCACAGTTACATTTTTTTTCCCTTAGATCGTACACTGAGCTGTATTGAAATATATATTATCTTCCTGTGCCACACTTACAGACCTTCTCAGCGTCCTGGGTGAGATCTCACAGCCCACCGTAGTGTCAAACCTGAGTATAATGATTGTCTGTTTTCTTTTAGGTCATTGATAAATGAAGCTTGATTTAGGGCCAAGAACTGAGGTCATTGTGGGACCTCAATAGAAACACTCTGACTCAGTGATGTTTCTTCATTTACAGATATATTTTGAGATCTTCTGATTTTGTATCCTGCGGGCTCTAAGACCATGCTGTCCTTTGGCAAAGGCTTCCTCATTTCTGAACCCCATTCAAAATCACCTTCTTCCTCCTTATCCTTCCTTTTCCACCTTATTTCCAAGACCTCTAACAACCATCTCTGCTCCTCGATGCCGGTGTGCATCCCTTTCACACAGGGTCCCACAGCTGGCATCGCTGCCCCCCACGTGCTTTCCCATCTGGCCGGTGCTCTCCCCTGCTGTCCCTTGCTCGCCTGCACTCTTAAATCTGTCCACAAAAGCCCTGTTTAGCCTGTAATGTATGTAAAGCATTTGCTGATACACTCCGTGAACTGGCTCCATATAAACTGCCCTGTGTTGTGATTTTGGGTGCTTTATATTCTGCAATAATGCTGAGTTATTGAAAGAGTTGGCAGCTTTAACTCTAAATCTCCTTGAATTTGTCAGTTTAAGGCAGACACTTAACATCATTTCACTGCAGGTTTTAAAAGCAATTTTCTTTTTCCTTTTTAATGGCAACATAACATGGACTAGGACAGCTCTGTTGACATTACAATTAGAGATAAGTGCAGAGAGAAATATTTAATTAATCTGACTACTACAGATGGGCTAAATGTAATTAAGTTTCCTTCACAATCAATTTTATATAAGAAAATAAAATTATATCTACATATTAAAACCACTTCTCTTTATATATGAAGTTCATAGGACCTGATTTGGCATAAGCATAAATTCGAAAAATTCCCCTAAAGTCATTGGAGTTATACCAGTGTTACAGTAATAAGAAATCAGAAGCCAATGCCCAGTGTTTCAGGGTTTGTGTACATGCACAACAGTAAAAACAGAAGTTAGGATGGAGGCATGACATGACCTGTTAAGTCCTGTTTGCTGGGAGGTTGTGCCTTAAACTACAAGAATATTATTGTGGCTTAACGAGTTACCATCCATCAAGCTCCATAACTGGATTGGGTTCATAAAGCTGGAAGCTATTAACATCTTCACCTGCAGTTGTGGTCAGAGCATGCACTCAGGTGAGTTACAGAAACTCAGCTGACAGGTAGTAACTTCCTAAGCCCTTAGGATCTGATCGCATTCAGTCAGTGACACGTAGCCCAGGAGATCAGTCTCTAGCCCTAATTCAGTGCCGTTGTATATTCTAAGTCGTGGTATCCACACCTAGCAAAAATCTTATTCATCCAATTGTGCTTAAATCAAACAATTATACCTCAGTCCTTAGGAGATGTTTTGTGCTTCAAGTTTGTTAGGAGGAAGCCACAGCCGAAGCTGAACAATTATTATTTCAAACAAACTCTAATTTCAGAAGTTAGTCAGAATGATAATTTTTTGGTAGTTTCCAGTTGATTTATTATATGGTACTTTCAGACTAAAAAACTGAGATTTTTACTATAGAAAAATACATTCAAATACAAGGTGGAAAAAACATATTAAAAAATTAAGTATTTTATTAATTCCAGCTGTAAGGATTGAATAATGTAATTTCTTTGTCATGAGGAAGTGTTATTAGTTGGTCTGTAGTAACAGCACAAAAGCTTAGAGAGGGGGGAAGCCTTGAATTCCTTTCTAAGGACTGGTTTGTTTGTATAAAGGTAAGCCACAAGCATATTCACAGGCATCCCAGTTCTGCAGACGCCGAAGCACCAAGTCCCCCATCAGTGCAGTTGTCCATGGTGGTGAGGTTAAACACGTGCAGAAATATTTTCCTGAGCAGGGACAATGCTATTTCTTTCAGAGTCCCATTAGTATAGGCTGTACTTGGACCCTGACTGTACCATAACTGCCTCTCCCGTTCCATCTCATAACTCTCTGTTAGCTTTTTCCTCCTCGCGGGCTTAAGGGCATGTTTACCTGTTCAAATATCACTACAAATATCATTGCAAAGGTCTTAGCATTATAACAGATGCACGACGGCATGCTTTGCACTTGCTCTTGCGGAGTGCATCTGCAGTCTGTTAGCAGTGTGATGTCCACTAAATAATGCCAAGAAGTCAAGCAGATGTCCTTTGCGGTGGGGCCTTTCCCTCGCCGTGGCTTCCCTCAGCATCTCGTTATTCCTCATTCCTTAGTCTCCTTCTTTCATTGTCAGCACTGATGTGATTTCATTTTCAGTTTATTAGATGACCATTCAGCTCATCTGAGCAGGTCATTTTCTCTTGTCCTGCCGTTACTTCAGACTCATTTGGAAGCTTCAGTAGCTCCAGGAGATTGCTTGAAAGCTCTGCCGAGTCCCGCACAAGCGGGTGCTGATGTCCCAGGCAGGGACAGGACACGCTGCCGCAGTGCTGGGATGCGCAGGGGGGCTCGGCACCGGCTCTCAGGTCATCCCCCCACACACTATTTACCCACAATTTACCCACTGTTCTGACACAGATTTACATTGCTGCTGCGCACGCAGGTCTTTGTCTCAAGCTGAAAGTTGCAGCCTGTCACTCCCATTAATTTCTTTGGTAGGGATCTTTCTTTTAAATTTGCCTGGATCTCTTTTCATGGTTTTATTTTTCTTTGGTGAATCAATCTTGGCTGTTTGTTTTTAAGGAAAATGCTATTTACTACAAGCTTTGAATTCTGTTCCAAATATCCCTTCAGTCACTTCAGACAGTTATTGTAGCTTTCCCCAAGCTTTTCCAAGCACAAGAAAATATATGACTCAGCACAGCCTTCGGCTGATAACCAGTGCTGCTGAAATATTGATGTATTTCTGACCCATCCATTGGCATTTTAATAACCTATCCATCACAGAGATATTGAGTCCCTATATAAGTAATATGCTATTATTACACAGTATAAATAATACTGATGGGAATGGTTTTCATTGTTGCTGAGCAGCGAGGGCTCCCCAGGGATGCCTACGGTTTCTGGAAACCGTACCCTGATATATTTTCATTTTCCTGTGCGTAGAAGGCCAAACGCTGCCAGTAGTCACTGGATAAAACACTCTGCAGCCTTTCCACTGGCACACTGGTGGGTTTCAATGTCCTTATGCAAATGCCAGTGATCCCAGTTAACAACCTCACTATGTATTGCTATGTATATATGCGTGCTAAGTATTACAGCTAAAATTTGAGAATTGGTTTGGATTAATGGATATGAATAGAGACTCATGATGGTTGCTGCTGCTTCATCTCTTCTGAAGTTCCTCTTTGATTTGGTTTGCTTAGATTCCTGGCAACCTTAATGGGTCTTAACTGAGCCCATGGTGAAACAGGTTGGCATAGGCGTTATTTAATGCTTCTTTGAGATCTGGGGAGGTGGGGGGGGGCGGAAATTAAAAAAACACCAACCGCAAACAAGCAAATGTAAGTGAAAGACTCCTGTGGATTTTTTTTTTTAAATAACAATAGTATTGAACAGTTGATCATGCCAGTGTACCGAAAAGCTCAAATCCTTCAAGTGCTGAGCAGAACACTGTTCAGTTTTTTTAGGTTGTCTTGCATAAAGGGTTCACAGAACAAAATCTGCTTACTGCAAGGAGAAACTGAAAGCCCATTTTTTTACTTTCTGTGAAAATGTTCTGGACATAGTTCTCCCAGCTCCATCGCTGGCTTGTGCTCACTGGGACCAGTATGGAGGGAGCAGGAGAGCACTTACGCATCTCTGGGTTGCTCTGCAGCAGTGAAAATGGAGGTCTGGTATTGCTTATACTAAATGT